AGAGAACACGATTTGCTGAGGTATAGTTGAAGAGATGTGATGTTAATGTCAACTCAGAGGCTCGGGCCGTGGGAAAGCTGTCACGCCATCATACTCAAAGCTTTACTCGAGATTACCAGCACTAGAGCAGCGGAAAAAATACCGAATTTGAAGTTGCTGATGACTGAGCGCTGTGATTTCGATAAGGGGATATTTCAGTACAATTCAGGATTTCCAATACAACCGCAGTATCCTACTCAAGGACTAGAGGAGAATGTGATAGATAGGAAAAGGGAGGTATATACACATAAATTGATAGCACTACATTAGCTATGAGAAAAGGCTATGTATATACTACTAAGGACTGTGTATTGGGAAATTGCAATACAACCGCAGTCTTCTACTCGAGGACTAGAGGAGAATGTGATAGATAGGAAAAAGTAGGTATATACAAATGAATCGGTAGCTATGAGAAAAGGCTATGCAGATATTACTAAGGATTTTGTACTGGGAAATTGCAATACAACTCACATTTCCAGCGACGATTTCAGCGAAGATACAAAAGAGCCGTTCGACGTGCGTCTCCGGTGTCACATCACCATACCCTACAGTAGTCAAAGTAGTGGTCATGAAGTACCTAGTCGGGTGATTCAATAGAAATCCTAGAGGATCACAGGGAGCTCACATTGCAGCTACGTACTGCTGGGCACGTGTGGCATCTACCATGTCCATTACGGTTATCCAGGATATATCGTGGTCTTCTATACTCAACTAACAAGAATTCATAACACATGGTCAACTACATGTGTTAATGATGATATGAAAATTCTAGAATGGAATTTCAGAAAAAAAAATCCTGTTGATTTTTGTACACTTCTACCCAAATTCGTATGTAAAGTTCCATAATAAATGAGAAAACTGCTGAGATCAGCTGAGGAAAGTGAACATGAATTTCAACACTTCTTCATAATCTCCTAAAAAGAGCACACAAAGAGATATGGATAGGAAAACTGCAAAGCGAGCAGTAGATACTATGTACTGACAGTCTTAGCATTTTCTCTGCGTTAGTTCATTCGTCAGGTAAGACCTTAGCACGTCGGCTCCACAAGAGTGCGTCAAAATGTATTCACCTTCTATTTCAATTCGAAATTGTTACTCATAATTTCTATCCTCGAGAGATTGCTACGTTCCCCATACACCTATTTCATATAT